GTCCAAATACAGGATACCGACTAATGTTATGCCTTCTCTTACCTATTGGACAACATAGAGCATAAGCATCAGCTGGATGAATTTTACATTCTGAATTTAGTGGACATCTTACTCCTCCACGACCACAATTAATGGTATTACCATTCCTATCTAAGGTTAGTGGAGCTTCTCCTTTACATGGTGTTTCTAGAAAATGGAATTTAGACGAGGTTAACTTATTTATCTTGAAATATCAATGAGAACACAAATAATATCTCCGGGACAGTTTTGTCAATAATTTATTATGAGATAAAGATAGGCTTAATTATGTAGAGTAGAAATAATGGTGCATGATATGTGGATTGCTGTACATATATATATCGAAATAATTTTTAATAAAGAAAAAAACTGGTACATACTTTTACACGTACACGTTGCACAGCCGTTTTCATCAAGTACATTTCCATATTGACAATAGATTGCACAAACTGGAGGGCAAACTGAAATAAACAAAGTCGTTTTCAAAGCGGTAATTTATTTCATTTGGAAATTAAAAGTATCAACGCGTAATAAGTAACTTTGGTTATAAATATTGAAGAAATTGCTGTATCTATTTAATTATATTTCTATTACCTCAATGAAGGGACATCCTGTAGAGGCCTAATTCAAAATGCCGTAACTCTGTCTCTCGTGGCTTCTGAGAGGTTTTTCTCAAAAACATTGAAAGGTTTGATGCATTCTGACAGATATTTTGGTGCAAAAATGTAAAAAATAAAGTAAGGGTTCAAACCATATTTCGAGGACCCCATCGATTAATAAGGTATAAGACAAAGAGCCCATTTTCATCTATTTATATAGCCTTTCAACTTGCTATTGAGTTCTTACTTAGCGTGGCGACGTACCTTTTGGGCAACAGACAGCATATCTATCAGCTGGATGAATTTTACATTCTGAATTTGATGGACATCTTACTCCTCCACGACCACAATTAATGGTATTACCAGTGCTATCCAGGGTCATTGGTGCTTCATCTTCACAGGGCGACTCTGAAAAACGTTCAACATTTTTGGTGATAAAAAGATACTAGTTAATATGAAAATTTGGTGTACAACAGTGGCGAGTTCAAGAAAAAAATATTAGAATTTTTTACCAATAAGTAGTAAGTTCTGGTGCTAGTGGGTTGAAAAAGTAATGAATAGCTAAAATTGCTCAGATACAATAGACAAATAAGTTGGTGATATGCTTATGTTTTGCATGTTTTGTTGGTTACATTAATAACCAGATCTGGTATAATAATATGGTTCTTTACATGGCGTCTTTTACTTGGTTACGTCAAGCAAAATGTGAGAGTTCCGATTCTGATCGGCGG